AACTCTTGTTCTTGTTTGACTGGGACATGCGAGTTGAGAAAACTCTCATACAAACTCTTGCTTCTCAACTCTAATCAACTCTCATGCAACTCTTGTTCTTGTTTGACTGCGACATGAGTGTTGAGAAAATTCTCATGGAAACTCTCGCTTCTCAACTCTCATGCAACTCTTGTTCTTGTTTGACTGGGACATGAGTGTTGAGAAAATTCTCATGGAAACTCTCGCTTCTCAACTCTCATGCAACTCTTGTTCCTGTTTGACTGGGACATGAGAGTTAAGAAAACTCTCATGGAAACTCTCGCTTCTCAACTCTCATGCAACTCTTTTTCCTGTTTGACTGGGCCATGAGAGTTAAGAAAACTCTCATGGAAACTCTCGCTTCTCAACTCTCATGCAACTCTTTTTCCTGTTTGACTGGGCCATGAGAGTTAAGAAAACTCTCATGGAAACTCTCGCTTCTCAACTCTCATGCAACTCTTTTTCCTGTTTGACTGGGCCATGAGAGTTAAGAAAACTCTCATGGAAACTCTCGCTTCTCAACTCTCATGCAACTCTTTTTCCTGTTTGACTGGGCCATGAGAGTTAAGAAAACTCTCATGGAAACTCTCGCTTCTCAACTCTCATGCAACTCTTTTTCCTGTTTGACTGGGCCATGAGAGTTAAGAAAACTCTCATGGAAACTCTCGCTTCTCAACTCTCATGCAACTCTTTTTCCTGTTTGACTGGGCCATGAGAGTTAAGAAAACTCTCATGGAAACTCTCGCTTCTCAACTCTCATGCAACTCTTTTTCCTGTTTGACTGGGCCATGAGAGTTAAGAAAACTCTCATGGAAACTCTCGCTTCTCAACTCTCATGCAACTCTTTTTCCTGTTTGACTGGGCCATGAGAGTTAAGAAAACTCTCATGGAAACTCTCGCTTCTCAACTCTCATGCAACTCTTTTTCCTGTTTGACTGGGCCATGAGAGTTAAGAAAACTCTCATGGAAACTCTCGCTTCTCAACTCTCATGCAACTCTTTTTCCTGTTTGACTGGGCCATGAGAGTTAAGAAAACTCTCATGGAAACTCTCGCTTCTCAACTCTCATGCAACTCTTTTTCCTGTTTGACTGGGCCATGAGAGTTAAGAAAACTCTCATGGAAACTCTCGCTTAGAACTCAACTTTCATCATCGTTTGGCTGGGGCTTTACGTTTGTACCAACTCAAGTATGTGGCAATAATCATACTGATTGGAGTATCAGTTAGGTACGACTAAAAATCCACACCCTGATTTGTAATTGACCTGTAACTTAAATCAACCTGACATTTCAAGTTTTGAATTTGGAACTAACCCACTAAATTAACCATTTATAGTACTATATAGATAGCATTGTTCCACGGCTCCTTAAGTTCTACAATGAAGCACTCTTGTCACACGATACTTACAGTATTAAAATAATCCTCATAAAGAGAATTCCCAAGGCCAAGCACACAATAATTTAGACCAAGTAGTAAAGATTTTTGAACTCGAAAATCAACAGCAGTCTCTCTGAGCCATTTGTAAAACCAGCCAGTGCCTTCAGTGGGTTGACCATCAGTATATGTTGCCAGGATAAATATGCACAAGGTTGAGGGGTTGATCTGGCAATTAATATTTATTATATTAACACTGTTGTCTACAATTTTACTGTGACTGCTGAGTCTGGGATGCATTAGGCTTAATGGTTTAGTTACAAAGACAAAAACATACTGTAACCTCATTTGCTAAGGAATCATCAGGATCATAATTCTTTAAATCAATCACTTTTGAATTCAGTTCTAACTCTTGATTTAATTTCTTCTGCAATATGCCAGCAAAATACTAAAAGAAAAAATACAGTACCAGTATTACACTTAGCTATGTGTGCATGCTACCATACCCAAACATAATAGCTAGAACTAATTCTCTTCTGAATTCAGAACAGTACACAAATTCGGGAAATTTTGCAAATGTGTGACTGCATGTACATTTCCAAAAATGTTCAGCCATGTTTGAATTTTGTAATGTGCCCAAATGCATTGAATTTATTATTTTACTTGACTGTCTAATGCCACATCATTTTACTCGTCAAGAGGAGGATCAATGGATAAACTTTACATAAGAAGAGTCCTTTATCAACCTGAGCAGTTCCTGTTTGTGTAGCAAAGAAAATTTTGACAGATTGTATAATTGTAGTTTGAGGTTTCTCATCAGCATGGATATTCTTGATGTCATCAGCATGTTCCTACAAGTCAATACAACAAAGATAATAATTGTGCATAGAAGCGTAACCTTGCTCACACGATTAGACAGATTTAGATTGAGGACGCGGTCAAAGACAACATGAAAATGGTGTGTTGTGCCCATGCATGTATGGATATGCCATGCCATTTTGACGCCAATCTCTTAGGAAATTAACGCTTTACAAGTTTATGTGGCAATGTACCCGGAGGCACTCTACTTTTTTTATTCTGTCTAATGCCAGCTGATTTTACTCATCAAAGGGTAGAGTGCAGCTGCTCAAATGGATTAAAAAACAATAAAACGGCAGCCATAGATTCTGTGGTTGATATCATAGGAATTTTCTAAAATTTCCATTAATGGGTTTTTGCAAGATTTACCTAAGGCAGGTATAAAAGTCGGACCGGATTGTGGTCTGGGTCGGATCAGGTCGGATGTTTAGAAAATTTAGAAATATCAGGATGGGAAATGTTACTTACACAAACAGAAGTTTGCATTCTTTCCTGCGTTATTTACACAGCGTGAAACAGCGTGGCAAATCTGCAAAATGGATGGCGACGAAGGTAAAACATTTTATGTTATTCAGGGCTGCAAATAAATATTTGACTTGACAGGACATT